AAGGTAAAAGAAAACGCGGGGGGCCCCCCCCCCCCCTCCCCCACCCCAAATTTTATCAGTTAAAGAATTAGACCATAGGAGGAATAATTTATATAGAGGGATAATTAAACAAAAGCTCAGAAGGAGAGAATTAATGCTGCGAAACTAATGGCATTGCTCCACCAAAAATGATTCCTCGTTATAAGTATATTTTTTCTTTGTTTGAAGATATCATCACCTTAATTGGGATACCCTACTCCTCCAATAGGGCATGGACTATTTGCATATATGAATTATGGACCATATATAATATTATTTACATATATGGTTAAACAATAAACTAATTTAGTCCTTAGTTTAAACAATATACTTACAATTTTGTTTTTCTCTATGTACCTAGCTCTCAATTAATTAGCCAGGTAAAGTGATAGTTAATTAAGATCTCTTTCTCTCGACACTTATCTATTCCATGATGTACGTCCATGTGATGAGGTTATTTTATTTTTCAGATCAGTCATATCAATTATGTACGAATTAGAACAATTAATTTTTGATTAATCATCATATATACTATGAACTATGAAGATTTATATATATAGTATACTTTGTATCACGGATTGTGATGCAGTGGTGGAATTGTTTCACCTTTAGTTAAATATCTCGGGTTTGAGCTATGGGTATTGAGAAAATGTAGCCCCGATAGTGAACGATCCAAATTTAATCAGACCTCTTATGCGGACTCCGATCAATAGGTGAGAAACCAAAAAAATATAGTATATTTTAGCAATTAGATCAAATCTTCAAGAACCTCTAATATCATTTAACACAACAAATGTCCTCTTATGTATCAGGTGGGAAACCAAAAAAAAATATAGTGTACTCTTTAGCAGTTTGATCAAATCTTCAATCTTCAAGAATCGGACAATCGTTTAACCCAAGAAATGTCCCAATGTATCATCGACTTATTTCAACATTTATAATAGGGAAAATTGTATATAATAGCAAACTATTAATTCAAATTAAATGCTATAAATTTAGTTTGATTTAATTGTACCTCATAGCAAACTGTTGTTATTTCACCTCTCTTCTGGTGAATCTCGCTCGCCACTCTCTTTCTCTCCCTCGCCTCTCTCGTTTTTTATACAAACGCAAGTGTATAAAGTGCGTTTGTGTTTGTATAAAGCGAGAGAAAATTGTATATATACATATATTTTCGTTCCCCTCTC